TGGAGGGTCAAAAGTTGCATTAAGGGAAATCTCAAGAGTTTCTCAAGAAATCTTGTCAAATGCTTTCTCAAGTTCTAACTTGAGGAGGATTAAGGGGCATTTTTCTTTTATATAAACAGTGAGTGGGCTAACTCATTGGCAATCACAATTTTATCATTAATGTTTCTACCTGGATAAAGGTCGATTGCTCTTTATGAATGAGGTTGTTAAGTAGTGGCTTCATGTGGTTAGCGAATGAGTTTGTAGAAGATATTGCAGAGGACAATAGGAAGTAAGGAGGGGTTAAGTTTTTGGGAATATAGATTAAAAATACTCTAGTTCAACTAACCGTTGAGGAGAAATTTGAATGAAAGGCATTGAAAGAACTAATGATTGAATCCCTAATACAAGGCCAATAAGTACAATAGCATTAAAAGAACTAAGGATTGAATCCATAATGCAAAGCCAATAAGTACGATAGAATTCAACCATGAAGCCGCCGAGGCCTGGGCTCTTGCCTAAACCCATTTAATTGAGAGCAACAAAGATTTTCACATTGGAGAAGGACAAAGATAAGTTGTGAGAGTCTGCATCACTAACTTTAGACAAAGTAAATAAGTTCCAATCAAGCAAAGAGATAGAGGGCCTCAAGGACTAGAGATCTTCATACCAGTGACTAAAATGATTACGGATGTCTTGAGGATCTGTTAGGGTAGGTTTAACAGAGGTATGAATAGAAGCAATGGTGTTCTGTCTCTTGCGCATAGCCACCATACAATGGAATTATTTGTAATTAAGATCTCCTTGGCCAAGCAATCAATTTATTATAAAGGATTTGCAGATTTAAGAATTCTCACTGGTGAGCGCTCTTTTGGAGTCTTTAAAAGCTCGAATGAGTTAATAGCTAAGGATTTTTCAAGGTTTCCCATACAATGCTTGTGCCAATTAGAGAATTTGTGTTCAAGGATAGTAAGTTGATGATAAAAGGAGTCGTGGGGGCTGGAGGAAGGATAGTCATCTCACTAGACTTCCTTGACAAAGGACTCCACCTTGGGGTACTCTATCTAGTAGGGCTGAAATCTAAACAAGCGACGTCATAAAAGCTTTGTCAAGTTGAACCGAAATATGAGCAGGGGTGACTTCTTGTCACAAGTAAACCAACAACCCAAATCAACTAAATCAGCTTGGAAAAAAATTTATCGAAATCCATGACAGGTTTATTCAAAAGAAAAGGCTAGAATCCTGATTTCTAATTAGGGGAGGAAATATAGTTCATGTCTCCACTCAAAAACCAAGGAATGTCATCCAAATCAAGCATATCGAGAATTTTCCATATGAATCAACAAATAAAAGCACAAGTACTAGCGCACGTAGCAATAAGAAGCCACAAAGCCTTACTAGGCTCTTCAGTAAGTACTTTAAGCGATTGGTCACATTTTGCAAAGTAGGGTGGCTCTGAACCTATCAACCCTACAAGCAACATGCAATATTTGGTTCTAAGGTGGTCACCACTACAGTATTCAAGAGCTTCCTTATAGTTTCAAGAGAGGGCTAAGATATTAAATTGTGGGAGAAGGGTTAGATTCCATTTGGAAGGGGGCTAGCATAGAGGAGGAATCTGGGGTAGCATAATGCAATGTCATTTTCATATATTTATGTTTCAGAGCTATAAGAAGGGGTTCAGAGTTAACCTGAAGTAGTTTCCTTCGAGCTTTGGGCCCTTCCATGACAACCACTTTTGCTCACTCAAGGTCTTTATCATCGAGCATGAAAGCTTCATCAAGATAGGCAACTTCGTCGGGAGCCTTTCTAAAGGCATCTGTCATCCATGCCATAAAGCTTTATGGGAATTTTGGATAGTCCTTGGCTCAAATGCAAGCTGGGTAAAATTCATCCTGGGGAGGCTCAAAGTCGAGATTTTAAAGGGTTGCAAGGGACTAAGTCCTCACCATCCAGCATCTTGACTAAGTCCCCCCACCATCTGACATCTCAGCTACTAATTCAAGGAGCATAGAAGAGGGAAGGGAGAACAAAGAGGATACAAGGGGAGCAAAGGGGCCGGCATTGGGGGTGAGAAAATGGAGGGACATATACGATGAGAGGACGAGGTAGGGAACAGGCGTAGAAGAGGGCAGAGAGAGACAAGGGGCAGGATAAGACGTTAGAGGGGGACATGACGTGCATCAGGGAGGGGAGCAAAGGCATCAGGGGCCGTTCCATTGAGGGGAAAGTTTGAAGCATGAACAGGATATCTGCCAGCTGTAGGAGCATGCAAGGGAGACAACGAGGCATCAGCAATAAAGACAGCATCAACAGCAGTGATGAATATGTTGACGCTTGGGAAATTTGACTGGAAAAAAATCCTTGAATTGATATGAAGTCAAACAATATATAAATAAGTAGGAATGACTGTCACTGGTTTGATCCATACTGATGTTGTAATTTCATGATCAATAAATTCTCAGCCTGCTATCCACACCTATTCAGCATGTACAAGAGTTTGGCCTAAAAATTTGCTCATCCTTAAATTCCAATCAAGAAACTTTTATCTGGTTTCCTAGAAAGATACACAGATCAAGTCCACAAATGTTTCAACTTCAACAGAACAAAGAACTTTCAATCTCACCACATTAAGTGAACCCCTTCAAAACCTTCAAATCTTTGTTATGTAGCCCTAGGGAGCCACCAAGACATCTAATTGGGCCATTTCATATATTCTTTGAGTAACAATCAATATCTAAAAAAGTATTACACTTGTATATATGACTTCATATGGTAATCAAAATGCAAATATTCTGATGATGATGATGATAATAAATCTCAAATTGAAGACCAAAATGAATCATTTTCAAGTTGGGACTGTCTTTCCCAATCATATTTTGATCCATGGTTTAAAATATTGATTGGACCAATACATAATGAATGATATCTATTGATTTGATCAATCACCAACTTTAATGATTGTATCACTTTGGTACAGTACCAGACTGATGGGTTGTTGAAAGTTGAAACCAGTCTCAAACAGGTAGTTAAAACAGTATACTGATTTCAAGAACCCATCAGGCTGAAATTGTACCACCAGGAAAGCCTGAACATTAAATTCTAGCCCCAATTCTAATACTGTCCCATCAGACTGGTGCTGAGGAATTTGAATATTCAAGGGAATATGGTGGTAATGTTTCTGAACAAAGAGTGTAGCCCTAATTCTTTTAAAGGTCTTTAAGTCTTTCCTTATATGTGGAAAACACTGATTTAGCTTAACTATGTGCAGAATTATGTAAGACTATCAATGATTAAAGTTTAATAACAGTTTAATAATGGTTTCAACCAAGGTATGCAATACTGTACCATACCGGTGTTTCGAGGTTGGCTCGGTATGGTACGGTACCAGCGTACCAAACGATACACTAGGGCGTACTAAACGATATACCAAGGCGTACCGAATGATACACCAGGGCTTACCGAGCGATTTCTTCTTACTGTAGCACTATAGTACTGTATACTGTAGCACTGTTATAATGTAATATTGTAACACTGTAGCACTGCTACAGTGTATTACTGTAGCGTTGTAGCACAGTCCGTCCAGTAGCGGACAATCCATGTACCGGTATACGGTTGGACCGGTACGTACCGCTATACGGTCGGACCGGTACGTACCGCCCATGCCGAGTGGTACCATTCAAAATTGCATACCATGGTTTCAACAACCCATCAACCCTGGAAAGCCTGAACATTACCACCATATTCCCTTGAATATTCAAATTCCTCAGAATATAGCAAATTTATATTTGCACTGTCTTGTTAATACCATAGCATAAGGTACTCTAATTAAAATATAATTAAATTCATGAAATCAGAGTGAAAAGGACAAGCAGGTAGGAGACAATTAAAAGAAGTCTAGAAGTTGGAATAAATTATCCATTCTAGAGAGAGAAGATGGTAAGGTCACAAGGCTTAAGAAAACATTTTCACTTTCTTTTAGAAAATATATCATTGTCAGACATGTTGAGACATTTAGGGCTGTCTTTATAGATTAGCCATTCAAGCTTCAACAACTAATAAGATTTGATAAACCAAGGACATTATTTCTCTTCTCCCAGTTCAAGCTCATCTAGAACCTTCTAATGATAAGATCATCCTTTCAAGTGAATAAACAATAAAGCCTAAAAATAATGATAACATAAGATTTAACTCCACACAAATTAATAAAATTACTTCAAAATCATAAAAAATAATTGAAGGAAAAAAGTCCTTATTTTGACTTGAACAACCCGTTTATTTGACTCCTATATTGGGATGCAACAGTTAGACAAAATGTGTTAATAATAAGAGAAGAAAAACAAAAGAGGTGTTGAATTGAAGGATCATCAATCTGCCCCAACCGTTATGTATCAACCAGCATTTACTGGTCTGAGTGTGAACCATGACATGCACTGTCCCTTTCAGTGATCCAGTTCATTTATTTTTTTAGTGATACATAGTGGCCACTCAACCCCATCTCTATATTGCCTATCTCTCTTGCAAGCCCACCATCCACCCACTGCTTATGATGCCGTCAGTACCGTCCATTGCCTATTGCTGCTGGTGCAACCTCCTGCAATGGCTGATGCCACTGGCCCAACTACTCCTCTCCTCTCCAACTTCCCTCTGCCTCCTCCTCCTCCCTCTTTTTGGTATCATGGTACGTACCAATGTACCATGTGCTGCCATGCTGGTGCATACCGGATCCATTCCGATCAGCCCATGTGTCCAATATCCCGAAATACCAGATCTTGATCAAAACACACAAATGTTTCAGCCTTACCTTTGCTAACCAAAATATTCTCTTTTCCAAAGAGAGAAAAAAGGGGAACTATCTGGAGATATGTGAATAACATTTTCCACAGTTTCAGTAGATTTATATTTTACCTGGCACTACAAAAATAGACATGCAAAGCTGATATTTCAACTACAAGTAGTCCATTGTATAATTAATAGAGAAAAAAAAAAGGGCATGAAATGAAGCTGTTGCAGACAAGTACCTCGCCATCCAATCCTCGTATGGTAACACGATATACCACAGTCACATTCCCATTGTCCGAGAATATTATATCACGTACTTCTCCACACCAGCCTTGTGATGCAAAAGCCACAAGAAATTGATAGTGGCAAATCAGATCTTGTAAGATGCTCATCCACATTAAGCCAATGTTAATTTAGATCAACTTAACTAAAGAATGGAAGACTAAGGATGTTTAATACACAGGATTTGAGATTTTTAAAAGGGCAATATTAATATCCAATAATAGGTTTTCTAGTTGTTTAAGTGGTATATAAAATTTTGAGCAGATAAAGGTAAATACTGCAGTTAAAATAATGAAAAGAAAAGACCGGATGCATGGGATTTCTCTTCTAATCTGCCAAAAAAGATTGTGTGGAGAATTTTGTACTATGATGAATTAGGGTATACGTGTACAAGTTTCTGTATAATAGTAAAGAAGACAGATCTTAGCATCATTTTACTCATGAATGAAAAATATAGGTGACCAAATTCATTGTATTGCTTAGTTGTCCACAGAATAAATCAATGTAATTGCTCACAGATCTTTAGAAAAGGCTCCCTGGTAAGAAATCAACAATATGGTATGAGTGAAAAGTTCAAATATTGTATTTTAAATCAGATAGGCTGCAATCATAATGAAGAGAACTATCCTTGGAATGCAAATTATGTGATACTTCACTGGTTAATTTTATGTGATATAGAATCCATCATGAAGAGATTAATAACAAACATAAAATACTCTAGTTTTGCATGAGACATATGACAAAGTTAAAAAAAATATATTGTGATCAAACTAATAATGATGAAGAAAGATTCACCTGGGGCATAGAAACTCAGCATTCTATTTGCATGATACCTACAAAAACAAGAATCAATAGGGTTAAACCAGACTTAGCCAATTAACATGCCAAGTCCAGTTATGAGTCAAGCTAGTCAAGCCGAGAGGCAATTGTAAACCATGAAACTGTCAAATGTCGAAGCAATTCAAATAAAAAAATAAAGGGATAAAATTCAAATGAAAAGAATGGTCTAGGTACCTTAAATTAATCTTGTTCTATGTAGAAACAAGAGAGTAATGGAATCACATGAATTACACACTTCTTATCAATTTGAAAGGTATGTTTTTTGACACAGATTGTTAAGGATTTTGATTTTGTTCCCTGTCAAATGTATAAATATGTGCATGATTTCTGTAGTGCTTTTTATGCATGCTACTTTTTTAATGTAATTTTTCTCTTGATCCAATTCTTAATCTGCCTTATTATGATTTAAAATATCATCATTCTGAGTTTGATCTAGGACCTTTGATGTTTCCCTTTCATAGTAATAATCAAGGTATCTAGGTAAACTTTGATGACAAGTAGTTAATGTTCAAAAGAACTCAAACCTTGTTGAGACAGTGAAGGCATCGAGCGCTCAGACACTCACCTAGGCACCCAAGCAAGGTGAGGTCAAGTGCCGCCGCTTACTAATTAATCCAGGTGGGCACCTTCACATGGCACAAGGGCACAATTGAACACAAGCTTCATGAGGTTCAAGCATAAACCTAAACCAAATCAGGTTTGACTCAAGCTTGAACGACCCAATTTGGGTCAAGCTTGGACAGCCCAATTTGGGTCAAGCTTGAACAACAAGAAATTTGGAGTGGTCTATTGATTCTAGTTCGAATCAACTGGCAGTGGTGTCTTTTTCTCCATCGACGAATGGTGGTGTCTTCCTCTCCATCAGCGAACGACAACAGCGTCTTCCTTCAGTGAGAGGCTTCCATACATTAAGTGGATTTCCAGGAGGCTCTTCTCTCTCTCTCTCTCTCTCTCTCTCCTTCCTATAATCATCTCTTCTCCTCCTCCATTGTCCCCCCTCCCCACCCCGTCGAGCCTCCCCGGACCCTAACAATCATCTTTCCTCTCCTCCTCCGCCTCCTCCCCTAGTAGCTCCCCTCAATGATTTAAATGAATGGCCAATGGGAGAAATGGGGGCTAACTTGCAAAATCCTAAAGATGATCCTATTCTTTAGGATGACAGTTTGATATGGGGAGAAGCAGTAAAAGCTTTGAGTGTTGAAGAAAAATGAACTTACACATGACAACTCATGAGAACAAGATGAATGCAAAAGCCTTAAGTCCATTGCTTCTAATTGTCGAAGAGGGAACTTAATTTGATTAAGATGAACAAGAGGTTGCGTGATACAAATCAGCTGAAAAGGATGATAATGACAAACTTGAAGATGTTGAGGATGATGATGTGGACGTTGATGATGATTAATGTTAACTTTTTTTTTTGTCATTTTTGTTATTTGACATGGATAATGTAATTTGGTATTTTAAATGAATGCAATTTGGTGTGTTATTTCTATTTTAGTGATCATGTTTCTCAATAATGAGATACATTTTTAATTTTATTCATGAATCATGAGCATCTCAGGTGTTTTGGCACTTTGGCACTTAGCATCTTTGGCTACACTACACCGGCTCGGACTACACAAAAGTTCATCTCTTTGGCCATCAATCAAGAGATCCTTGTAAGGTTACCCACTTCTTGTGGACATGATGAGAATCGGGCTCTGATACTAAATACGATGAAGGACAACCTAAATGATATATCATGAGAGAATTGAGTGAGGGATCGATAATAAATAGAAAAAAAAAAAAAAAGCAAAATGGAGAGAGGAGGCTAGAAAACCCGATTCACAGAAATCGTAGCTAAAGAACAAAGAAAAAGTACCACAATTCAATGATCACTAATTCGGTCGAAAGGACATATCACGCTGGCACAAATTCAAATGGCATCTATGTTAATGTGAACAAACAACCAGAAAAGTCAACAAATCTGGCTACTTTCCACAGTTAACCATAAAATGAGGCTGATGCTCAAAAGTCAACAAATCTGGATCCAGAACGAACCACATCTGAACTCTATGCCAAATTCTAATTAAGGGAAAATCCACGAAAAGGAACGCTGCCGACGGATCCGAAAAGAAGGGAGGAAAGGGGGGAAGAGAAGAGAGGTACCAAGGGATGGAGTTGTCAGCAGGGTCGATGATGTTGTCGGGCACTCTCTTGTTGAGGTCCCGGAGGATCTCCTTTAGAGGGCGACAGAATGACGGCGTCAGGTCGAGTGGCACCACATAATTGGAATTGGGAACCCTGCCTCCGCCGCCGGCCCCGCCGGTTTTCTTGGCGCCATTGCCCGACGCACCGGCGCCCTTCTCCAGCGCTGCCACGATCACTACTGACGCCGATGCCGTCCGCGGCAGCCCGGTGGCCGCAAAGCGGAACCGCGCGTCCTTGCCGCCGGCAGCGGCAGTGACCGGAAAGGCCGATCGAGCAAGGAAGAGGGTGGATTCCATCCGGAGGCGATGGGAAAAGTGAGAGAGGGAGGAGGAAGGGGCGACAAAGAGAGGAAACCGGATTTCTCTCTCCCTCAGTGCAGTGAACACGTCTCCCCTCAAGCACAAAGGGGAAATGACCTTTTCTTTGGTTGTTTCCGTCGATCTAAATAAACAATTATGAGAGCTAGTCACGGCTCTTACCGCCGTAAGAGACTTAGACGATCAAAATGCAACTGTTCACTTGTCGTTAACAGCCGGTCCACCTCCCTCGTGATTCGGTAATAACATGGGGCACACGTGGGACCATGTCACCTCCGCAATAAAAAGACGTGGTCCCGTTTTAAGAGAGGTGCGAGAGTTTTGTTACCCTCGATGAATTTTCTAGAATTTTTCTTTTATATATAGAGTCCCTCATTTTATACTGTTCAAATTCAGAGATTTATTTTGTTTAGATCTGATGTATTATCGGATTAATATTATATATATATATATATATATATATAAATTTTGAACTATATCACTATCAAATTAATATTTTTAAATATCAAAATTTATTGAATATATTTCATTTTAGATTTTAATGATAAAATTAATTAATAAATTTGAATAATTAATATATTATAATAATTAACTAAGATTTGAATCGTGTACCATGTGATGACATCACCAAGTATCGAACAAGAATCATTAATAGTAATATCACCCACGAAGATGGTAGTTACATCGACAAATAATCACTTAATGTAATATTTTTTATTTTTTTAAATTATTTATAATATTAATATTTTAAATTATTTTAATATGAGAATTTATTTAATAATTTTTTATATTAAATAATTTTAATTAAAAGTTTACTGTTAGGGATCTAATTATGAATTGTAAATTTTTTATATTAAATTAGTGGGAAAAAAAAAAAAGATAAGACATGTGGCACTAGCGAGTGTGCCTCCTCGTATATGCTAACAGCTAGTGTAATTTCGATACATGTTTGCCACCTTGTATCAATAAGGCTTATCTACACATTTGTAATTGGAGAACAAATGGTAGAATTTTACTTAGTTAATTGCAACATTGATAATAGTATCATCTACCATAACAATATTATTATTCAAGGTTAACTTTTGTGACATGTCAAAGGTTACTATTCAAAATCAACGATAGTATAATGCATACCCCAAAATAAAGAAAATTTAAATTTTGTTGGCTCTAATTTTTGAGCCTTTTGTAAGATATAAATATCTGTTCGAGCTTGACAGATGAAATATCTAATCCTTTAATTTGTAAATATTATTACTCTTTTTTTTAACCTTGTTTAAGTCTCTTCTATCTCGAAAGGAGTTATTATTCTAAGTATTAGGAGGGAAGAATTCTTTGTAAAAAGATTGAGTATAAGGTTCTCTATATCGGAGTCTTACACGCATTGAGTTATAATTAGTATGCTAATAAAAATATAAATAATATATATATGTTATCCTGATATAATTTGTGATATTTACAATTCATGAATATGATAAATGATATACTCATGTTTTTGACTCTTAATATTGAAGTGCATGCTTTTCAAAAATATTATTCTCAATGTTCTACGAGCATGCATAAGCATTAATATTTATGTTAGGTATAGTACAATAATCCAAAGTATACTAGCCGACTTTAATACGAGATTGGGTTATCTTAATATTTAGTGTAGAGTAGAAATACTTATGTTTGATGATCAATTTAAGATGGATAATGTTTTAAATTTTATGATTGTTTACTTTTCACCGTATTCATATTGATAGTAGTAATAAAGAATTGAAATGTGACGTCTTATTTTAGTCTTACACATAAAAAATATATGTGAAACTAAGAGTAGAGTATTACAAAGTTATGGTATTAAAGTTACTAGTTTGCCGTCTAGTTCTCATAACATTTTCCTGATTAAACCCAAGCTGGATGTGATGTGTCAATTGTGAATGAATTTTTAGAAGTGTTTTCAAAGGACCATACTAGTTTACTACTCAATAGGAAGATTAAATTTATCATAGACTTAATGTTATGGACTGAACTTATTTCCAAACTATTTTATAGAATGACATGTTTGGACCGAAAATGACACTAAGAGGGGGAGAGGGTGAATTAGTACTTTCAAAAAAATTTTAATTTTAAAATTTTCATTTAATGAAAATCGATAATGAAAGTATGCTTGACTTAGAATAAGTGAACTAAGCAATTAACTTAGAAAGTAATAGCAATGAAAAGTATAACAGAATTATATACCGAATTTATAGTGGTTCGGTTGTCATGACCTACGTCCACTCCCGATTCCTCTTCCGCCAAGGCCACCGACGTTCACTAACGATCTTCTTTCAATGGGTGAAGATCATATACTCTCTTGACAACTCTTTCTCATTTACATAGGTTTAGGAGATAATCTTTATAAGTCTCATACCTCTCTTAGAATAATCATAAAACTTTAAGGAGGAGGAGGAGGACATTTAGCATTTTTCAAGACTTTTCAACTCAGCATCATAAGGCTTTTTATTCTTTTTTCATACTTTTTCAAGTAGGATAGAGTCGGGTGTTTATAGGCCTGAATGACTTCAAAAATGAAGCAAAAAAAAGTCTCATCTCGGGTTTTCGGGGTACTAGCGGTACCACCGTCTATTAGGTTGACAATTAGTGGTATCATTGCCTAGTATGGATGATACCATCACTTGCCAGATTGACGCTAGATGGTACCACTATCGGGTTTTTCAAAAGAAGTATATTTCATACTTTTCTAGCTCACAAGTGGTTCCACCACTTGTTCTAGTAGTGCCACCACTTAACTTAACCCTAGGTCACTGAATGAGCCTCCCAATGGGCCCAACTCAGCCCTAGATGAGGCCCAAAAAGCCCTTAATTGAGTTAGCATGGTTACACCCAAAACTAACTCAATTTAAGACTTAACTATGATAATTAAGATCCAAACAATTATAAAACAATAATTTAAGTTGTCTAGCATGTCATTGGTTCATCTAAACTTTAAGCAAACTTCCGACGCATCAGCCAAACCTTCGGTGTATTGCTCGATCCTTAGTATATTGACTCCCACAACACCCGATCTTAGTGCAATGTCCGATTCTCCGATCCGATGCCCGATTTTTGATTCCAACTCAATGTCTGATTCTTCTGCTTTAATTGTTTTATCTTTTCATGATCAAAGTTAGTCCTGCATTATTTTTCTCAAAATATAAACTCATCAATTGATTTCATTATTAAAATTCGAGATTCAATAATCTCTCTCTTTTTTATGATGACAACCAATTGACGATAGAGTTTAACTAAACTCTTAATATCTATATGTCATATTGAAAAAAACTTTGAATTCAAAAAATAATAACTTTAGAATTCAAGTCAAAATAAGTTTAATCATTTTCTTTACAAAGTTCGTCATTTCACACTTCATATGCATAACATTGCATACATCATATGCATCATCATATCATTGCATGTGCATCATCATCATAAGTTAAAGTATTACATGTATCATTAATCATATGCAAGACATCATTACTTGCATCATTATTATAAGTTGAAGTATTACATGCATAATTCCAAATCATCATATATAATATCAAAATATCAAATCATCATTACTTTAGGTATATTATTGTAAGTTGAAGTATTGCATGCATAATTCTAAATCATTATGTATAATATCAAACCACCATTACTTTAGGCATATCATGCATGATACATTCTAAAAACTGTTAGGATCAAGAGCGGCACTAAGAGGGGGTGAATTAATGCAGTAGAAAACTTTCACGATTTCAAAAGTTTAGGTTTCAATTAGAACTGATTCTGATGAAAATCGTTTCGTAAGGAGTGTAGAGAAGGCAGTAAGAAGGTAATGTAGCTTGCAGTAATGAAACTTGCATAAATTGAAAAGCAAACTAGAATTTAGAGTGGTTCGGTCTTTGTGACCTACATCTACTTTTAGATTCCTCCTCCGTCGAGGTCACCAGCGTCCACTAAAGGCCTTCCTTCAATAAGCGAAGACCAACCACCTCTTACAATGCTTTCTTCGTTTCATAGGTTTAGGAGAGAACCCTTACAAGTCTCACACATCTCTTGAATGATCTTAAAACTTAGAAAGGGAGAATGAGAACTCTAGCACTTGTTTACAACACTTTTACACCCCAACAACTTAAGATTATCTCAATGCTTTCGTGCCCTTTTGTGTAGAAAAGGGTGGAGTTTTTATAGGCTCCAATGACTTCAAAAATAGAGCCAAAAAGTTTCTAATCCCGGATTTTCAAGGTCCTAGCGGTACCACCGCTTGATAGAGCTCGGAGACCGAGCTCTGGTGGTACCACCGCCTAATAGGGGTGGTACCACCGCTGGCAGCAAGAACTGCCAGTGGTACCACCGCCCAGACCACCTAGGAGACTAGGTCTTCTAGGTGGTGCCATCGCCGATCATGTTTTCAAAGGCTAATTGGGCTGTTCAATCTGACCCAAATCAACCCTGTTAAGGGCCTAGTTGGTCCCTAATTAAGTTAGTGGGATTACCTCCTAATCCTAACTTAATTTATGCTCTAACTACGATAATTAAGATATGATTATAACACTTCTTGTTCTAGTGCATTAATTGTTCTTCCGGCGAGCTTCCGACGTACATCCAACGAACTCTCGGCAATACTCCGGCGGACTCCTAGCAAGCTCTTGGACTTTACGACGATCTTCTTGGCAAGTTCCGATGAGCTTCTTTGGCAATCTTTTAGACTTCTCGGTTGGTTCCGGCAGAACTTCCGACGAACGTTCGGACTTCCGACGAACTCTTGAAATCCCAACATGATCTCGATCTTGACTCTAGTACAACACCTACTTTATGTCTTACTGCTATCATAGTTAATCCTGCACACTTTTCTCAACATATAGATTAGATCAAACAAATTACAATTGACTTCATCATCAAAATCCGAGATTCAACAATCTCCCCCTTTTTTATGATGACAATCAATTGAAGACGGAGTTAACCTTAACTCCCCCTATCTATGTGTCATACTTGAGAAAAGACACTCTTGAATTCAAAGCCTTTGAATTCAAGTATCAAACTGATAAATTAGATTCATTTAAACTTATCAACATACATATCATAATTACTATCATGATCTAATA